AGGCTGGCTCATGGCCTGACCCAAAATTCATAGAATTACAGGATGGTTGAGTTTGGAAGGGACCTCTGGAGGGCATCCTGTATCAAATTTGGATGGACCTTTTGACAGAGTAATATACACAGACACTTTTCTTGCCAGGACTTTGTCCGCTAACAAGAGACCAGAAAGACAGCCAGTGCAGGGATATGGCATCTGTCCTGGACTGCAGCTGATAAAGATGCAGAAAATAGGCTCCTTCCCATTTGGTGGCTGTATTTTATTTGTTTAATGCCACAAGTAGTCCTGAAGTTTTACAGATTTAGCAAAATAAAGATGAGTCCAACAGCTTAATGTAACAGGCGAATTCTACACATGAAAAGAATAATCACACCCCACACAGATGAACTAGGAGGCATGAACTAGGATGAACTAGAAGGGGAAGGAGAAGGACAGAGAAGCAAAAAGAATAGTAGCTCTGGCAACTGTCTTTTCCTTCAAGAGGGATACAAGGAACTTGTATTGCCACTTTATATCGACTTCCATGGTGCTATTTTGTTCTTACTTTTCCCATTTCAGTATTATTTGTTGTTAATCCCTTGTTACTTTTTCCACTGTAGCAGCAAAGCTCCTGATGAGAAAAGAGTGATGTTTTCTTACAGCTATTGGAATTGGCGTAGATATTTGTATTTTAAAATGTCACCCTCCTCCAGCTGACTGGCATGCAGATTTAAGGATTTGGTCTGGATCAACTACTTGTTTCCACTTATGATAGCCACATGGATCCTGGCAGAGCACTGACTCCAGCAGCCTGACAGACCTTGACTAGCCTGTACTGATCCACATTTTTAGCAAATACTTTGGCTTACAACTTCTGAATCATTTAAATTGCATACCAGGTAATATCTCTTTTCACATTGCTCCACCTTAACATTCTGCTCCCACATTTTTAAAAGTACAGTTTAATGATTCTCAAGTACTAATTCAAAAACAAATTTTCAATGCAGAAATTAAAAACAATCTGAAAACAGATTATGTATCATTACCCTGCATGTCAGAATGCAACAAACATCATAGATCTATCTCACTCACAGCATGGTAAGGCAGCTAAAAATGGTCTTAGTTCTCTTAAAAGAAAACCTCTATTTAAGAGATAACTTACTGTAGTTGTGAGAAAAAGGTACCATTTACTGCAGCACAGCCCTGCCCAGAATGCTGGCTGAGGTTTCCATGGTTAACCTAAATTAAAATCAATTCCATATTTTTTGGCAGAAGGTCTATAAGCTAATTTTCATCTTTTCTTCTGCAAGTGTAATTAAAAACATAGGGAAAAGGTTTCATATGCCTCAAGTATGAAGGTACATTACAGTAGACGTATTTGTTTTCAAATGGGTACAATGCTCACCTTAATCAAGTCAAAATTAAGTGGGAAAGTAGAATGTAATTATTGCCTTCTTGTGATCATACAGTTAACAATAAATACACCCCATGCCTACAGGGGAATAACACCCTGCGTGCCAGACTTGGTTGCTTGTTCTAAAAGGAAGTGAACCTTAGTGGAGATTTGATCTGCAGTCATCATACTGTCCCAAGAATTACTAATCCGTAACTCAGAAACAACAGAAGATGACAAAGGAAACTAAAAGGTTTTTTACAGCAATATTAAAAAGATATTCATAGTAAAGATGTGAAATGTATCATATCAAATGGAAACAATGACATAAAATGGAGTTTGCCTTCTATTCACATGCAAAATCTACTTTGTCCATACGAGTGAGCAAGCAGATAGGGTCAACATGAGTGAAGCATACAAGTGGTCCCGGCACCTCTAGGTGTGCAGACAGGACACAAGATGCTTCCAAAAGAGTCCTCTCAGCAGAGGACCACCTTGATTCCACACAGGTCTTCTGACGACTTCCCAGCAAGCAACCAGCAAGTGCGCAATCCCCGATTAAGGTCATTCTTTTTACGCGCCCTTAAAGGCATGACATCGTGCTACAGACAGCTTTAATAAAAGCTTGGAGTTCACTGTCTATCTTCTGTCTATCAAGTACATCACCCAGTGTTTGCAACTCTTCATAAGTTCTATTTCCCATTGTCTCTTACTCTAATAAATACCTATTTTAAGACTAATTGAAAGAATAGCAAAATATACACAGAATATAAACTTTTTCTACCCACTAATACACTTAGTTTTTAGAATTAGACCTTCACAGCCTGCAATTTAGTGACACTTCATTAACATACGATTGCTACAATTGCTACAGAGTGTGGGGAATAATCTGCCTTTGCAACATTCTGGGTTAGATAATTCATGTTACATTTCACCTCTGATGGATGAGGTTCAAATCTTGAAATGCATTTGGGGAGGTGGGGAAGCAAAGAAAAGCACGGTGAGTTTTCCCAAGACCTGTTCAAGTGCAGTGGTCTTACTCTCTTTGCCATCCTTCTCATTCTTAAAAACTGACACTCTAACTGAAAAAAAGGCTTTGGGTTGAAACAAGTGAATAACCTGGCTTTGCAAACAGCACTGACTCTGAAGTCAATTCTACAACCACTCATCAGTAGACCACCTGGGGAAGGAACGGGTAAAATAAGGTAGGGGGATCTATTTTGAATTTTTAATTCTCCACTGGCAAATAGAAACCCTGACTTAAAGTAGAGGAGCTTGCTTTTAGTAATTTTAAAATGCACAAACAGAAGCAACCCTATTAAAAGTCTTAAAATGACATTTATTCAGTTAATATGAAAAGAAAGAATTCTATTACTTGGAAGGTGCTTTTCTCACTCTCACCTTTCAACCATTATTCACATACAAATAAAATCACATCTGAATAAATTCCACTGGCCTTCATAACATACCATCAAGTATTACTTATTTTCAGACAGAATCATTAGTGTACAGGATAACTGAGTACTTCGCTGAGAGAGCTGATTGTGAATTAAGAGGAGAGGCAGTTTCCAGTGTGAAAATTCAAGAAGAGAAATAGATCCCCAGGTAAGATGTGGAAGGATCCGGAAACAGAAGGCTACTTATCTTCAGTAAGTGAAAAGCAATGGCTAGAACAGGGGGAACAAAGTGGAAAAGTGAGAAATAACAACACTTGAATATCGTGGCTGTGTGAGAAGACCATGGAACAAGCAGATAAAAGCATATAAGATGAAGCAAGTTCATTTGAATTAAACTCACTGGCATTAAGCAAACCAGAAATAGCAACAGTGCACAGGGGGGAACTGTTCATTTTGTTAAAGAGAGGGCTAGGAGTTAATTTTTCTCATCTGCCATTGACTTTCTGGTTAGTGGCAGGAGATGTCACTCAGCCTGTGTTTCAGTTCCTCATCCATAAAGCAGGACGCTGTGCAGAAAAGCCACAAATGGTTCAGGGGGACAGTCAAGTGATAAGGGCAAGATATGAACCTACACAGACAGCTATACCTAACAGATTACCTGACAAAGAAAAAAGAGGGAGGGAGACAGAGAGGGAGAGAGAGAGAGAGAGAAAGAGAGGAGAAAGACTGGCTACAGTGACCTGACCCACCTGAATTTTAGAGAGGAACACAAATGTTACAAACCATACAGATGGATGTACAATCACAAGAAAGAGATAAGCCTCTGACCATACAAGCCTGGAGAGAGAGAAAAACTTCACCAAATAAGAAGGGTGACAATGCACAGAGAGATACATCCAAATGACAAGGCTACCAAAATTACGAGCAGAATGAATATCTGAATGTACCCTCAAAGGAATGTTCTGTAATTTCAGGGAGGTGTTATTTGGGCACCAGCTACTGCTATGAATAGTGGGTATGGTCTATTCCTATCAAATCTACAGGAGAAAAGCATGGGAAAGTTATATAAGGAAGAAATAGGGCTCCTCCCTGGGGTTGCAAGAAGGGAAAGGGTAGGAAATTCCTTCCTTTAAATTATAGAAAAAATGGGGAAAAGACCCTTGCCACACACAACAACTTCAGCCTAAGATGCTTCCACACTGGGATTCTTCCATTCAGATGTGAATTATAGGCAGAATGGAGAACAACTGGTACAAGAGGTTATTAAATAAAATACAGGTAGTCACAAGATGAACCTCATGTACCAAAAGAAGCAAGTGAAGGAGACAAGCAGTCTGCAAACAGACTGTCTGGTTGCAGAGAGGATCAGAGGGGCAGAGGAGACAAACAGCTGATCGGAGATGAAATTTTCCCTGAGGACACAAACAACCCTTCTGAATACATGTGAGTTTATTTGAGCAGGTTGGAGCGTACAAAAGGGCCAGGAGAAAGCAGGGAATGGACAGCACTGAGGCAGCGTGCAGTCACAGTGACAGTAATTCCTTGTAAAATGCTGAAGAACTGTCGGAAACCTTTACTGTTCCTCTGGCCATTCCCCCCTCATTATTTGTTCTAACCAATACTTAAAAGAGAGCTTTTTAATATATATGTGTATATAGATAAGTAAATTAAGTAACAAGCAGCATACGTATAAGTTCTTGCTAACCCCAAATTCATTCTTTGCCATTTATTATTTTCAGAGTGCCAAGTATAACAAAGCAACACACATTAGCTGCAGGAGGCATGTGCCTGTCCCAAGCAGCCTGCTCCTGCCTTAAAAAGTCTAAAAACACAAGACAGACAACGGATGGGAGAAAGCAAATAACAATGTTCATGTGTTACAGACTGAGAACAAGGAAGAGAGCTAGTAAGTGATTTTCCCAGGATTTCACAGGAGGTCAGTGGCAAAACTGGATATTGAAAGCCTCTCTCTTCAGCATCCATCTGGTGCCTCAGTCACAAGGGCATTGTATCTCTTTTAAGGACATTCTCTTTCATCCTTAGAGTGCCCTGGTAAGAGAGGTCTTTGACTGAAATGTATATAGTGAGTTTATATACCTTCAAGTTTCGTTGAACCATGTTGTACTTTCCCCCCCCCTCTCTATTTCCAGCTCCCTTGCAGTCACTTTTGGTCTCAGGTCAAATTAACAATACTAGCATCTCCGTCCACAAAGCCAACCTTTCTATCTACTTACAGTTCTGTTGGTGAAATTACTGAAGTCTGTCACTAGGATTTGCTTGATCATCTCTGGCGTGGAGACCACCACAAACATCTGGCGACCAATATAGTACCTACAAAGAAAGAAAGTAGAGAGTCATTTCAGCAGATAACGTCCACCAGAGAACTGTCACCTTCCCTAAAATATCTCTGTTGGCTTGAAAACACAGAATATCACAGAAAATACATTCCCCTCGGTAAATCAGCATCTTCCTCCATCCCTCTTAAGTTTTAAATTAAGATGCATAGACCTGGAATTTAAAGGAAACAGCTTAAAACCACCTACTGATTAATCGATACTCAGCCAACATTTTAACATACAGGTTTACACACTCTATGTGCACTGTGAACTCTGTACAAAGTGATGTAAATATCACTAAAACAAACTACAGAGGAGCAAACTGTTAGTAACGAACAACCCAAACAATCACAAAAGACCTCCAAAATCAATTATCCTGCAGTTAGCCACATGAAATGTCTTTCCATGGCAAAGCCCTGTATACAATGAGCCTTTCCAGAAGTCCATGCCTGCAGTAAAGGCACCATTCCACTGCTCCTACTAGCACTGGAACCGAGTGCATCTCAGACCCCGGGCTTTTCGTTATCACAAACATAACCATCTAACAGATACCATCCGAAACTTACATAACACCAATAAGGAGGGGGAGGGAAGTAACAAAAAAAGAAAAAAAAAAAGTCCACCAAGTACAAAGAAATTAATAAAAGTTTAGAAGAAGCCTGGGTGATAGGGGTCTCACTCTCTGCTCCTACACCCTCTACCTCCCACTTTCAGTTTAATAAGATCTTTGGAGCCAGGGTCTGTCCTTGGGAGACTTCACACCATTGTGGATGCTGCAGCTGTACTAGGACCCACCGTAGCCCCACAACTCCTAGGGGTGCAGAGCCTCCTTCTCCAGAAACATCCCCCCCAAGGGCCCATGGGCACCCCGTGCTTGGCCACTCTGCAGGAGGAGGAAAGAGTACCACCAGCAAGCAGAGGTTCCCTGCAGTCCCTACCTTTGCCGATTGCTGGACCAGAAAGACTACGCAGGTGGTGCTGCCATTGCTCTGCCAGGACAGAGGAAGAGGAGGCTGGAGGCTAGAGGCAGGCACTGCAGGGCCAGGCAGCTCAGAGCAGAACACGAGCAATACCACAGATGCTGCAATACCATGGTAATACTGATGCCTAATCATTTTGGTATGATACAGCTTAGTATCAATATATTGCTTATCACCTGTCTACACTGCAGCAATGGAACAGACAAGCAAACCCTGGGCTGAATTAAATTTAGTAACTGGAGGTTCCCATGGCAATGAAGCTGCAGCAGCACTGATTTCACCAGGGGCAAACAAGTCAGACAAATATCTTGATTCCAAAGCAGAGTTTCAGAGTCCACCTTGACCCCCGTACCACCAAAACTCATAATAAACAAAAGGCAGAGAAGAACAAGAAAATAATTTTCTTCAGGAAGGAAGAGATCTTATTTTCTTCTCTGGTGGGTTTCAGGAGGGAACTGTTATTTCCCAAATTCAACCCACAGGCTCCACTTGAACCTTAGATACAGGTTGTACATTCTATTAAAATAAACCTTTTTCACCTCTCCCAGTTTGCTAAACCACAGCAAAGTCGCTGTCTGTTAATGGTCCAGCTTTTCTTCAGAATCCTAATAGGTGCATAAGAGCTGAGGCCTCACTTTAAAGAGTGCTTTGATCACTGTGTTTGACAAAAGAGTGTAATGCCCTACATGCACCTTCTGCATTTACTTTGTACATTTTCTCTGGCATTGGAGAGGCAAAGCAAGCTCCCAAGGCAAAGACAAGCCACTCCAAACCTACCCAGGATGATCAGCCATGAGTGCTGACCTCTCACACTCACATGTTGCTTTTCTCTTCCACTCTCCAAGTTTATCAAGTTATTTGTCTTATTTAATGTTTAGTGACTGATGGTCCTCCAACATACAGCTTCTCATAAGGACCTGACACCAGATTCCAAATCTGAATCAGAAGCTGATTTTATCTGCCCAGACAGTTTAACCCTGACCACCAAGAGGCACCACATGATACATCATGCGAAGCACATGTGCGTGAGTGCGAGAGAGACACTTCTAGTTTATTTCAAACTTGGGAAGCTGCAGAGCTCCAGCTCCAGTCCACCAGAATAACAGACAGTACTCACAGTCAGAGCCCTTATGTCACAGTGCACTTTGTGCCTGAAAGCATTCAGGACTAAAATTTGGGACAGGAGCATCTCCTACTCAAGCTGCTTTTATGAGAAAGTGACTCACAAGCCAAGCTTATGCAAACAAATCTATTCATCATCCTCCAACTCAGACCAGTCACCCGAACTCCCAGTTCTGCTTCCACAGCTAAGCTCTTTCTTTTTATTTACTCTTCTCTAACTTTCTGTCTATAGGCACCTGTTTTTCCTCTCCTTATCTAGTTATAAATAAGGGCAGAGAAGGAGAAAGAACAGAAGGGGGAAAATCTCCTAAAATTAAACTGAAAATACTGAAAACAAAACAAAACAAAACAAAACAAAACAAAACAAAACAAAACAAAACAAAACAAAACAAAACAAAACAAAACAAAACAAAACAAAACAAAACAAAACAAAACAAAACAAAACAAAACAATCAAATTGTTTTTTAAGCAAAGTTCTGCCTACTTTTAAGGAATGACTGCTATAAAGCACACACAGACTAACATCTTTTGTTGTATCCCAAACAGTAAAGGCACTCTCCCTAGCTTTTTTCTATTCCCCAACTTTCTGTATATAATCTTCCTAACCTTTTCTAGGACACAAGAAGAAGAGGGGGTGTGTGGACGCACTTTGGAAGTCAAAATCCACAGGCTAGGAGCATGATTTCTATGATCTTCCCCTGAATTTAAGGAAAAAGGACAAGAAGAGCTAAATATGAAACAAGACCATCTGAGCTGTTTCATTTAGCAAACACAGGGCCAGAACCTGCAAAGACACTAGAAATATGCTGAACTAAGTTTTAACATATTTTAAATCCTTTGCAGGACCAAGGCCATGGTCACAAACCAAGAGGATATCTCCCAACTGGAATGTTTCTCTTTCACTTGTTCAAAAATGGCACATAAAAGATAAAATCCTCCTGAACAATAATCTATTCTTCCCAAGTAAATAACATATTCACCCCTGCCATGTAACTTCATTTTGATTCTGTATTACTACATGAGGATATCACCAGTCTCACATAGACTTAGATTTATTATTGAACAAAACCTGATATTCTTGTCAGATTTTAATAAATAAGAGTTTGAGAAAAACAAAAGCCTCCCGGCAAGTGCATTACAAATGGATTCATGAATAATTTAGGACAGTACTTTTTATTAACTTTCTCTAGGTTAATCTTTTCACAGGGCTAGTCCACACACAGAAGCCCTACCTTTAATGGCAGTGATACAGTGCCATTATACTGCTTGACCCAACCTTTTGTTACATTTTCGTGTATGGCATTCAGGGTGCAATATACATTCTTGTGACCATCCAGCTCACTCCTGCACGGAAACAAGAATGAGGGAATGTAGTACGGTGTCTTCAGAGCGATGCAACCCTGTTCACGTGGGAATCTGATGCAACATTGCTATACCAGTAAAAATACATTTCATGACCCATGCATGAATGTAATTTTCCTGTGTAAATGAGGCCTTAGTTACTTAAATTTCACTGTTGGAGACAATTTCTACTAAATTTCTGTTTAAAATGCAGAAGAAAAACGTCCACATTTTTAGACCAGCAGCTTTAGCTCCATTGGAAGGTGAGACTGGAAGACCTAGTACCCGTATATCAACAGCATGAGGGCAGCTTCCTCCAGCAGATGAAAGGGTGGACAATTGGGCCATCAGCCCAATGGACTGCTGGTGCAGAAGCAGACAGCCCTGTGCTGCACTGTCGCCAAGATGGCCACACAAAAAAGTTTTTGAGATGTGTTCAGCAGAGGGCATGGATCTACACCCAGGAGCTGGGGAAAAGGCAGGCTGCCCTCCAGTGTGTTTACCACAGGACTTGCAGGTCAAGGACGTGGTTATGTTATAGTATATTGACCAGACTCTAAATGCAGAAGTTAATCTGCATTCAGAGTGTTTTAATAATCGAAGTGGCTACAAAGACCTAACACACTCAGGCTGCAGCAATTTGGTTTGAAAGAGCAGACAAACACCACTCATAAGGCAATTAATGAAGGAGACAGAGACTTCTGCCTCGTGTTCAGGTTTCACCCAGAAGGCTGCAGTCCTCTTTGCAAATATTGAGTCATTTACTAAACACCTCTTTTCTTTAATTGGCAAGAATAAGGAGCATCCAGCAATGTGCTGGACTGTGTTGTGGTGTGCCCCACCATTTCTTTCCACATAGATGTGGCCCATTTGTATCAACCCTCACCAAGTGCCTACCATGGCCATGGCCGCAGAAGCTACCCTGTAAAGGTAAGAGACATCTGAGAGATGAGCTGCCAAGTCCAACCATGAGCTGCGGTAAGAGCAGTGTGAAGAGAGGCACACTGGACTGCTCAGTCCCTCCTGCAACACCCAAGCACACCATCTCCCTTTCCAACAATTGCCAGGGATTTCTCCTCTCAGGCGGTGTAGCGGATCAATCAAATGCTTTTAATTTGAAGGACCAATTTATTATAATTATCCTTTCTGTGCCCCCAGGATGGCTCTGGTCACACTGCACGGTCATCTGCTGCCAACAGAATCCCCCAGATCCTGAGCCACGGACGCGCTCTCCGAGCAGCGCTCACAGCAACGTTGCCTCGCTGGGCAGGAAAAGATGGAGCGCACACACAGTACTTCATGGCACAGGGCCATATGGTTTTGTATAACACCTGTGTGGGAAACACCTGCAACCCTTTCACCTTGTTTATGGTGCTGCTGTCAATTCACAGAAGACTTTGATCTCCCTATCTATTATCAGACCCACGTATTACAAACACATCACATTAATCATAAAGCACATATATGCTGTCAGGCAATAAGCAAGGCTTTGTTTTCGATGCTGCAGTCTGGTAAAGCACACAAAGATCATCTGGAAAGTTAAATGAAAATA